TCGAATAAAAGTTAATTTTTTTTTTTAAATTCTCATATAAGAAATCACTAATTTCAAACACTATTGTTAAGTATCAGGTAAATAATAAATTGCTTTAATTAACCTTATACTAAAAATTACAAGCCAAACAGATTATATTTTTAAAGTTTTTTATTAATATTATACGATAATAATGTTAAGATGATGTAAAATTACGTACACTAAAAAATTATTTTTGTGGATTTCGAAAATGGCGGTGATGATGATTGTCAACGTGATTTATCTTACGTCAGCTATTGGAATATTATTTAAATTAAATAATAAAAATGTCATTTTTTTAAAAAATAAACTAGAAATGTTTTTTTTATTTTATCGATAACCTACCCGAAGAGAATTTTTTAAATTTATTTACTTAGAAAAAAAATACTACATTCTATTTTCTTTAATTTTTAACTTAAATTTTGTTTTTTTTTTTCTTTTATAATGAATATAAAATAATGACAGAAAATAAACAAAAGTTTTTGAATCAAATTTTGAATTAGTATTTATAAGTTTTTATAAATAATTTTTTTTTTAAAATACAATTTTCAATAATTATACTGTCAGATAATATTTTTGGGATGTTTCCTTTTAAGAAAAAACTTTCCATTTTTTTAACAATTTAATAATACAATTAATAAAGTATTTGCAAAGTGATAAAAAATTAAAATAATCAATTTTTAAAATATAGTAAAAACTTTAACAAAAAGTTTAAAAAGACCTGGAGTTTATTAAAATTTTATTACAAATATATTTTATATTTACTGTAATTATTCATTATATTTTTTAAATTTAAATTACCATAAAAATTTTAATTTTTAACTTGAAAAAAATTAAATATGTTTGAAAATTTTAACGGTTATAATAAAATCTTTTTTTATTGTATAGGTATTCTTATAAATTATTGTTTACATTTGTGACTTAAAAGTGTTTAAAAATTACACAATCAGATAGCGTGGCAGTACTGTATCTCCATTCACAATGGTAAATTTGAATATACGTTTTTATATTTATTTATTATCATTTTAAATACTTTAAAATGAAATTAAATCTTTTTTTCTTTTTCAATTTGTATGAATACAATTTTTTTAATTTTAATCAAAACAAAATAACAAAAATTTTCGTTTCACGATAATTATATTCTAATGTGAACGTTAATTTAAAAGCAGAGTTACTTTTGTTTACTTCTTCAGTTAGTGTCAAAATGGCGGACAAGGCAAGTAAGCCTCCGCCGACCGCGATCGGTAAACCTGTGCCAATGAAACTATTTGCTACTTGGGAAGTGGATAGGACACCTCCTAATTGCATTCCCAGGTATAATATTATGATTATTTTAATTTATTTATCGTAATTTATAATTATAAAATATTTAAATGAGTAAACATGAAAATTAAGGCGTCGGCCATATTTTCCTAAAGTCCGGTGTTGTGCGTCAACGACCTGCAGATAATATATAAAAAACAACAAAATTTTTAGTAAATATATAGTTATTTATTTTTAATTTAAATGATATTATGGTGAAACTTATAAATTGCAAATGTCAATTTTATAAAAGTCAAAAATTGTAAAATAATGTGTTCATAAACTGCTTGTAACTATCAATGCTTTCAATATACACTTCTTAACATTTGTCAAATCTTTTTGAAAAATTAATGAAAGATTATTATTATTTGATGTGTAATTAAAAAAAAGTTTGATTAGTTAAATATTTGAACGTTTTTAATGAATTGAAATAATTATCAAGGGATGATTTTCTCTGATATATTTTTAAACATTGTTAGATTTAAAAGACGTATTGATAATACTATCAAAAAAATTTTTTTTTTTTTTTAAATACATATTTTCTTGTTACTTTTTATTATGAGTATTAGTCATTGTATTTTATTCTGTATTAAAATGCTTTCTTTCTTATTTTTCTTTTTTCTAAATAAAAGTTAAAAGGAAAAAATATGTATTATTTATCAATTAAAAATTTTTATTTAATTTACTATAAAAAGAAAAGTATTTAGAAAAAGATATAAAAAAAGTTTTTTTTTTTGTGATTTTTATCGTTAAAAAAACTTATCGGGAATGAGTTTTTTAATTTTTTTTTTTTTTTTTCGAACAATAACGAAAGAGTTTATTTTTTCGTAGAAATAAAACATAAAAAACAATTGTATGATTAGTTCATATGTAGTTATTACTTTTCAATGACAAATATATTGTTATTTAACTATGCGGCTTTAGGTTATCTGATTTTATAACACATATATTAAATGCTTAAATCCACAATGCTGATTTAAGCATTCGTATGGATATATTTGCACAATTAATTTTTTATTCATTGTTATGATTTTCCAATGAAAATACCCATACACAATAATAATAATAATTATGATGATTTTAATGATGGTGAAGTGGTTACCGTAAATCGCTTATCAAACAAAGGTCTCGAGTTCAAATCGGGGTGGAAACTTTTTTTTTTTTATTTTTTTTTTTAGTTTATGTTAATAAATTTTTAATAATAAATTTCATTATAAAAATAAAAAAAAAATTAATTTATTTTAGGACGATTTTAAATAGTCATTCAAAAATAACAGTTTAAAATTAAATATTTCAAACATACTCAAATTATCATTGATTGATTGATTGATTGATTGATCGATCCAGTCTTTTGTCATTCGATTACAATAGCTATAAGTTAATAAACAATTAATTTACGAAATTAAACGAAATTTAAATAATTTATTTTTTAAAAATAAAAATTACTATTTTTTTACAATTATAATTTTTTCAATAAGTTAATAATTATCAGGTTGGTTTTTTTTTTAATTACTTTTTTTTTATTTTATTTTAAATTTTTTTACTTCGCGGATTTAATAAATACAAACTAAAATAGAAATTTATTGATTTTACAATTACATAAAAAAAATATATATATTTAAATTATTGGTTAAAATTTTTTTTTGTACTGCAAGTATGTATTTATCAATAACTGTTATTATTACTAATAATAATCATTATATACTAAAAGTCTTTCATTTATGCATTTAAAAAAATAATAATAATAATTTTTAAAAGGGAAAAAACAATATAAAAATTTTTTAGTGTAGTTTAATTATATTTCATTTACATAATTCGAGCCCCTTGAAAAAAATAAAAATTTAATAATATTCTTAAGTTTTATTGTCTATTTAAAAAAATATTAATAATATTAATAATTCATTACGGTTTATTTGTCGTCATAAAAATGAAAAAAAAATATTGATTAAAAGTGTCAAATTTTTGAAAACTGATTCTTGAAAATTTTTAGCCATAAGTATAAAATATGTTTTGAACGGCATTTTCTTTACAAGTTTACAAAAATGAATAGAAAAATTTTTTAATGGATGACTATGTGTAAATTAATTAAAATTTTTTGATATTTAAACTCCTCACTTTTTTTTTAATATGAGTAAATTTTTTTCATTATATTTTGAATGCCATTTATAAAAGTGCATTTTTAAAAACTTTTTGACCAAATATTCATTATTTTTGATTTATTTACAAAGGAAAAAAAAATTCTTTTTTTTGTGAATTTTTACATAATACTATTTACTAAAGGTTTAAATGAGAATATTAATTAATATATATGTCTTCTTATTTTTTTTCTATTTAAATTTTCAATCAATTATTTATTATGATTATTGTTGGTAATAATAAAGTTTAAGGTTTTTCTAAATAACTCTTGTTATTAAAGTTTGTATGGTCGAGCTTAACAAAAGAATATCTTTAGTAATAAAATATATATACAAATGATGTAAACACTTTCTTTATATTGAAATAAAACTACGATATGTAAAGTAATAAGTTTTTTTTTTTTTTTTTAAATGACTAATTACAGTTTATATTGTAAATAAAAAAACCATAAAGTTAGTCCTAATTACCATCCGCGAGCAACATTTAATATTATTTCTAATGTGAAAAGCAATTTGAAAATTTGACACACTTTTTTTTTTTCTTTTTTATCTTCTTTTTTATTCTACTACTACGACTTTGTTACAAATGCCCTTTTATTTTTACATTATTTTATTTATCTATCTATACAGAATTTATTTACTCGGTGTTATATTCCTATGATTTCTTAAAATGTTCCTTTTTTTAATTCATTATAGAAAATAATATTTATAAATATTATTATTATTTTTAATAA